TTTTTTGGTAAAATAGGTTTGAGTATTAGTGATTCTAGTTTATTTAAATTTATTGTATATCCAATAAAAATGCTAATGAAAAAAAAAAAAAGAAGGAAGATTTCAAGCATAGTTGTCATTACTATATTCCCCGTGACTAATGTTTTTCCGCTATTGATAGTATCGGTTCATAAGATAATTTTTTGTTTTTTGACAACGGATGAATAAAAAAAAATTTATTCAGAACTAAAAAAAAAGAAAAAGAAAATTGGAAGAAAAGAAAGTTATTTTGAGTCTTGATAATGCAACCATCTAAAGTCTTGCAACGTACGAATAAATGGTCCCAACTCTCTTTCTTTGGTCCCAAGTTTTACCATAAAAATTGCAAATCATCAGTACCATTACCTCAACCTCCCAAAATCATACCACACTTCTTATTAAGACATAAAAAGGTTTTCGAGTTCAAACTAGTGTACTTTTGTATTAATAAAAAGAAACATAAATTAATCTGACAATTGATTTGCTAGCTTCTTCATTGATGGTTTCGGTTTGAGTAATAAATCAAATAACATTGCATTTATATGTGCATATAAACCTCCTAGGACATCAAAATATTTGCATATGGATGATATATGGATCACATAATATATATCCATTCAGACCAGACTTTGACCCTCTCCGTTCTAAAAAAAAAAATTATCTATTTTTTTATTATATATGTCATAAAATAATTATTTTCTCAAAACTTTAAGTGGTGTGATTAACTAAAATACAATTTTATAAAAAATTATTCAAATACAATTTTGAGAAGAAGAAGGAAATCTTTGAGAAATATGATAAAAAAAAACTAAAATGAAATAACAATTAATAACTTTCTTAATCTAAATGAAAAATCAAACAGATCACTTTTTTTAAAACACGTAATATATATTATATGTATAATGGGATGCAACAACTCTTGATCATAAATTTTGAAAATAATTTATAACACAAAACATTTTTGCTACTAGAATTCACAAAATCAAAGCTCAAAGTACATAGCCAAATTACGGACGGACTCTTTCATTTTGCATAACCAAATTACGGACGGACTCTTTCATCTTGCTTGGGGAGCAAGGAATTATTCATATTTTTCTTACATAATTAAGAAAGTAGCTAGGCAACAAAACAAATTAAGAAGACACTAGAAAAGTAACGCAATGCACTCTAGCTCTAGCTCTAGCTAGCTCATCGGTGCTTGCTATACCGTCCAAGACTCACATGCCACCACCAAATCTATCGCATGCCAATATTACCGCACATTAACCCAAACCTTGAATATCTTTCTTTCTCGCTCGTATCCTATATATATCTCACTCCATTCGCCCTTCTTCCCTCATCGGAAAGATTTTATCACCAACTTTAAGGCCTTTTTCACGCACAAATTGAAGCCAATCCCCGGTGATCACGGAGTTTACTATAGCGATTATTTTTCCCATGAATCGAAAGCCTAAAGTTCCACTCATTCTCGCACCGTATATATCCGTTGCTTCAAAATACACGGCATTTTCTCCTTCGAGAATTGTGAAAGCCCGCGGACTAGAGGTCGGAAAAGCCGAACAATTTTCTATGTCGGTTTGGCTCAATATATATCTTATCCATGAGCAAGATCTTGCCATTTCTAGCTAGACCGAGCAAAATGGATTATAAAAAGTTGTGGCTAAAAGCTTGGAGAACTTTTATTAGGGTTAGAGATTGAGATGTTGAGTTGGAGCTATCTCCCCCATGTATAAATATAGTGAAGTTGTGGTGTTGATGGTCTAGCGATTTACGAACTTTGATGGTTTATTATAGTATCCGTCGAGTTAACTTCGATCATTTGTTGCACGAAGACGACCGACTTTGAGCATGGCTTTTAATTTATTCTAGATTGTCCAACTCTTTCATTTTCATGCTTTATCGATAAACAACAAGGTCGGAGATGTTGGATTCAAACAATTTGGAACATTGAGTGATTTTTATTTATTGATAACATACATATACAAAATAATTTATCATACGAAATTAGATAATTAAGATTGAGTTCTATTTAAAAGATTTAAATTTTATGGTGGGTGATCCTTTGTTAACTTTATATATTATTCATTTCTTAACTTTATATATTATCTATTATTGGTTTAACTATTAAATGTGAGACATTTGTTCTAACACTCTTCCTCACTTGCAGTTGAGGCTCGATACTATACGGAGTTAGATAGTTAAGATTGAGTTGTATTCAAAAGACTTAAGTATTATGATGAGTGATTATTTTTTAATTTTATATATTATTTTTTATTAATTTAACTATTAAATATAGGATATCTATTCTAACATAATGAAATAATAAAAAATCAAGTAATGGTATTTGTTAGAGTATTCATTCATGATATAAAAATCATATCAAAAGATGTAACTTAACAATTTAATATAGTTTAAACTCTATTTTTTTATAAATAAATTAAAGAATAAGAAAAATAAGAATTTTTAATGTGTTGTTAGAAGCTTTCTAGTTAAATAGTCTTGGATTCGAATAATATAATATAGAAATTACGGTTTAGGATTTGAGGAAAAATGGTTCCTGGTGGCATTGACATATTGATGAAACAATGACATGTCAATCTGCACTGGATTAGCATCAAGATTATGCCCATGACATCATTGATCTCTAAAGTCTAAAGTCAGTCATACAGGGACCCAGCAATCACTGTCGGATGGTACGGTAGTATTACATGAACCTTATACTTTCAAGAGTTTATTTGTCATATGTCACAAGAAAGTTGACTGCGTAGCTATGGGTTATTTTATTATATATTTTTTCGGTCGTTGATGGGATCCTACATTAGATATTAAAGAATTAATATTAATAACTAATAATTAGCATAGTAGAAAAGATTATCGTATTATCACGGCGCACTCTATCAGCCACTACTATAATTAATATTTTAATGGGAAAAAGACAACCGTACCACTACAGGCCGGCCAAGAAAAAGGCAAAAAGGAGATGGAAAAGAAAAGAAGAGAGAAATGGCCCACAGAAGATTCAATCTGTTTCAGCCGCAACATGGGATTTATTTCTCCTATTAATTAATATTTGATTTATTATTAGGATATTTTAATGGATCAAATAAACGCATGCACATAATTAAAACAGACTGACAACATGTTGTTAGTTTAATTAATAGTAAACGAATTGTTTTTAAATAAGTTTTTTCTATATAAAATTTAAATTCTTAAATCATATTTATTAAAAAAGTTAAATTTTATTATTTTTATTTTAAATAAGATTTAGTTTATTTTTAATAAAAAATAAAGATATCTAGAGAAAAAATCTGATAGACTGCTTAAGGGAATCATTCTAATTATTATTTGATGTTGAAAAATTTAATATCATGGTTACATATTTAAATTTCAGTGGAACAATAAATAAATAAAAGATGAAGAATTTTATGACAAATTAGTGAGATTTGATCTCGTATTTATGATCAGCTTGGAAATTCAACACTTCTCACACTAGAAAAGCAACTTTCACGAATATAACAATTTTTTTTTTTTTTTGAGGATCCAAAACTAATCCATTTTTCATGGACATGCCTTAAATCCTAAACTGGATGTATGAATTTTAATTTTGTCTGCATAAAATATGAGGATCGCCTGTATATAAAATATTGTTATGCTTATCAAAAAATACTTTTATATATATATATCAACTAATTATTATTATTATTATTATTTTGACTTGTTAAACTGGAGAGGGGAGTGGGTGAATAAACCAGGAGTCAAAATACATGACCAATTGCCACTCCCTGGAGTTGGGAAAACTTTTGCTGGCCCAAGTATGGATGAATAAGGCCAAAAGTATTAATTAAAGTAACGTGTGCTAATAAAATCCAAAACCACGTGCGTGGAATTTCTCCGACAAGTATGGCTGGCGGCGTTAAGCCATTTATTATTATTACTACTACTACTACTGCTCAAACTACTTATCATGAACAGTTTTAGATCATGTAAGTTAAACAGATTATCCATATATTCAATAAATATAAAAAACAAAATAAAATATAAAGTTGAGGTTGTAATTAATCACCTATCATAACAATTAATTTTTTGAATATAATCCAAATTCAGCCGCCAACTTAACAATTTACGTATATGTACAATTAGTCAAGTGAATCATTGGTGATTAAAATTTTTCTGGAATATAACACAATTGGACTTGGGTTATTAAACTTCAAATTTAGTTTTGGAGATTTCTGAATATTTTTTTTTAAAAAATTTAGTTTACCCAATAATTTTTAGCTACCATCCTCTCTTTATTTTTAAATAAAAAAAAATTCAATTCTTAGTATTTTGTATCGAAATTTTACACAAATATTGAAAAAAATTCATTCTATTTTGTAATAAATTCTAAATTTTTCAAAATCGAAAACTAAATTTATTTATTTTTCAAATATTAAAAACATATAAAAAAAAGTAATCTCGAAATGATCCAAATTTTTTTAAGGAATTTCATATAAATCTTATTGAATGATTTTTATTATAAAATTATTTATGTAATTGTTATTTTTTTGAGATAAATGACATAAAACTAAAGGATGAACTAAATCTTTTTTTTTTATAAAAAAAGGTTAGGGATCTCTAAGATTAAACTTAATGTACAATATTATAATAAACATGAATGAACACTCTACTGCCTTAATGTACGATATTATAATAAAAAATGAATGACCTAATCATCTACAAAATATATTGCCTCATTCTTTTCTTGAAGCTCCAGCCTTATTTGGTTTGTTGGTATTAAATTAAAAGGTTAAGGTCTGAAAAAAAAAATCAAATTGAGTGCGTGGTCAGTGATCTAGTGAGGATAAGAGACTATGAGTAATTAATTCATATGGTAAAGTTAGATTTTGAGATTTCAATAAAAGTAGCTGTGAGTGAAAGTATGGACACGAAACCCAAACAAAAAAATTCAATAAAAGTTCAACAGCTGACATTGCATGGCCAAACTAAAGCGAAACAACAATTATTGACTCAACGTACTCTTGCTGGACAGTGCTGACAACCTCAGGAAACTAGACAAAAAGAAAAAAGAAAAAAAGAAGACATACATTTGGACTTTCGCAATCATTTCCTCTTCTCTCTTTCAACCAGCACTTCTTATTCTCATTTTGTATGGTGCTCCATTGCTTCCGTTTACCTCCTTGTAAAATGATACAGTATCCCCACTTTTGAGGCTAGCATAACAAGCAATGTCATACCAACCTCTTGTAAATGCAGGCATTCTTCCTGATTTGGTGGAGCAGTGAATTTCCAGCGGCTCTCCGGTTAATGGCGTTCCTGCAGCTGACTCAACTGCGGTGGACAACTTTATGCTCCGAGCACCTTGGAAATGTGGCAGGCCTTCTAGGATAGAATCGCGTGGTAGTTCTAATCCTCTCTCAATATCCATAGAGGTGAGTTTTTTTGTGAAGATTTCCATGGCTAGCTAATTAAAATGCTTTGATATAATTAATCAGGATAAATAAGGTTCTCTTTATTTGTAGTGATGGGTATATATATAGTAGGTATTTATATAAACTGTAAACCAGATAGCTTGTTGCGTACGGTTTTGTTTCACTCGATCTCTGTTAATATTGATGTATTGACTTATTGCATATATAATTGTTCTAGAAACTATTTAAATCTCCGAATTGTCATAAAACAGCTGGTCAATGCTTTCTCTAAGAAAACCGTAGTCTAGTAAACAATATTTAGTTTGAACAAAAAAGATACTACATATGACAGTCTTATGGCATTTTCTACAATAAATGACTTTGAAAAACAGTTCATTCTGTCTTTAAAAGTTCACATTAAAAAGACATTTATCAATGACATGCAGTTCAAATGACAGTAATAATAATGTATTTTCTCACTACCGTAAATCTCGAATTCAAGCTTATCTTTTGAAAAAAAAAAAATCTCTATCCGACTTTTTTGTGTGCGATGGTTCTGCATATACGTATAATCTTTCTTCATATCTACCGACAACACATTCCAACCACCTCATTAACTACTGGTTCCATTTTGTGCCATTGAAAAGGTCAATTATATTCCGAACACAAACGAAGCAATTCGATAGTTTTGTTTTTGACCCGAGCAAAGAGCAACCTATCACGTTCTAGAATGCATGCATGTCTTTGACTTGTACGATAGCTAGCAGCCTATCACATTCCAGGGTATCTTTTGAACTCATTTATAAATTAATGTTGGTAAATTGCATTAAATAACTAGAATTAAATTAAGAAAAAGATCACCATGGTATGATATATGCACAAAAGAACGATAAATGGTCTGAATTAGTGTCGGTCAAACTGACATTTGATTCAAAGCACTTAAGCTATATATCCACCGACCATTTGGTTATAAGTTGTGAAATGGTCATTGTCAATTAGCAAACCTTACACTTTGTTTTATCAAAATTATATATTCAAGTTCTTTTCAACATTCTAGCTATCACATTATGTCGACCTAGTGTCGATGCCAATTTCGATTGGAGATTGAGAACACTAAACCAGGGATATAATATTGACCACACGTTCATGCTAGATAATGTGCCACTACTCAAAATCTTTCCAAGCTTATACGGTTAGTTATTTGTCTCATTCAATGAAACATGCATATTATGTGGAGCAATTGAATAAGAGAAAGATGGGTTCATAGTACTATTCAAATAATAATAATAACAATAATAATAAATACTCTAATATTATATTAAGTAACCATTCAATTCAACAACAAAGACTCATGTAGTTATATTGTATTAACTCATTAATGAGGTCAAATAATGACAACGTGCTCTTTTTTTCCTAAGTTAAATTTGATCAAACATCACATGTCATTTGTTTTTAAACAATAAATAGTTAAGTAGTTCATAACATCTTTCATGTTAGAAAATAAAATACCATTCTTGATGTTTTACATAACATTTTAGATTTCTAAACTGAAATGATTCTTTAACAAAATCACAACAGCAATGACTAATGATTGCGAGTTTGATTCTTATTATTAAAGAGTTAATATATAATTCATAAAACTTTATTTAATAACTTAATTTTTTGAGTTGAGATAGTTTTTTCATATTATATTAGAATCCTAATGAAAAAATAGTCATGAATTCGATTCCATAGCACCATCATCCCACCTGACCTCCCTTTCTGAACCAATAGTTGTCCACTTAACATTGTGAGCATTCCATAAACGATTAATGAAGGCATCCTTAAAATCAAATAACTTAGTTTCAAGCAGATACAGAACGTCAACTCTTTCATTATAGAACATAAGGTGAACATGTTTATTCATTTTTTTTTTTTTCTGAGAAGGAAAGAAAGGTACGGAGATAGAACTCTTTTCAGTATATTTTTTTGCGTATGTGTTTTTTTTTTTTTTTTTCCTTAGCTCTCCGGCTGCCTTTTTGTGTGTCTCCCTTTGCAAACTAGAATTCGAAAGCTTTTTATAGGCTAAAACCTCTTGAAATCTCTCTCAAAATCAGCTCATTCAAATTCAAATTGTCAAATCTTAGTTTTGAAATTTGATTAGCTAAAAATAAGAGGATTCAAATTCAAAAAAAGATTAGTGGAAGATTTCGATAGATCTTCGAATGATTTTAGGAAGATCCAGTATTTTTTATATTTTTTCTTTTTTTGTATTTTATTTTTTATTTTTCAAGGAACCCAAAATTGGGTTATGACACCATTTTTCATGTTAAAGAATAAAATAACATTCTTAAAGTTTTACATAACAATTTAAATTTTTAGACTGAAATGATTCCTTAACATCATAATTGTAATGACTAACTATCGCAAGTTTGATTCCTACTATTGAGAATTAACATAAAATAATTTATAAAACTTTACCCGACAATTTAATGTTTTGAGTTGAGATGGCTCTTTGATATTGTATTAAAATCTTAATGATAAAATAATTATGAATTTAATTGATTCCATAGCACTAGCATCCTACCTGATTCCATAGCACAAGCATCCCACTTGACCTCCCTTTCTGAATCAATGAGCATTTCATGAACGATTAATGAAGGCATCCTTAAAATCAAATAACTTAGTTTCAAGCAGATACAGAACGTCAACTCTTTCATTATAGAACATAAGGTGAACATGTTTATTCATTTTTTTTTTCTGAGAAGGAAAGAAAGGTACAGAGATTGTCTTCCAATTGGCTAAGAAAGTCATGAATGCTTACCTTCGAGACAGGAGCACAGAAGATCAATGAAAGACTAGAGCGCGAGCTAGTTGATCAAAAGTAAGAAATGAGAGTATAAAACAAAGAAGAAACAAACACATCAAACTTGGAAACTACTACAATAAACAAGAACGAAAACGAAGTGCTGAAAAACATGGTATCGGTTTAGATAACTTGATCATCTGATCTCACACATCTTTTTTCTTTTTCTTTATAGCTCAGCTAGCACTTCTCACTGTGAGTTTGTACTTCGCAGTGCCTTGGTCTTCCATATGCAAAGTCACGACATCACCAGGGTTGAGCCTCAGACGGCTTGCGATGTCACGCCAATTTTTAGTAAATGCAAGCCTTCCCGACCTGCTGGAGCAGTGAACATCAACTTCCATATCAGCTTGCTCAAACATAATCGGAAACACAATGTCCCGAGCACGTTCGAAAGGTGGCAAGGCTTCTCTTCTTGCATCATTTGGTAGCTCCAATTGTTTCTCAATGTCACTCTTTGTGAGTTTCTTTCTGAAGACTTCCATAGCCATAATATGCTCCAATTTCAATAGTATGCCTTTCTATTTTTAGTTTGGGTTCAAAATGCTTTGAGATGATCAGGTTAAAGAACGATCCCTTTATTTATAGTGATGGATATAGTAGGTATTTATATAAATTGTAAACCAGATAGCTTGTTGCTTAAGGTTTTGTTTCACTCTATCTCTAGTAATACTGATTTATTAACTTATTTCATATATAATTGTTCTAGAAACTATTTGAATCTCTGAATTCCATAATACAGCTGGTCAACACTTTCTGTAAGAAAAATCTCTTTAGTCTAGTAAACAATATTTAGTTAGTTTGAACTAAATGATACTACATATGACAGTCTGTCTTATGGCATTTTCTACAATTAATGAATTTAAGAAACAGTTCATTCTCTTTTTGAAATGGATTTTTTTTTTTTTAAATAGAGATGTCTAGTTTATTGTCATTAAAAAAAAATATTAATGAGTTGTAGTTGGAGTGACACTAATGATGTGAAAACTTTTCCCACAACTACATATCTCGAATTCAAACCTATCTTTTAAAACAAAAATAAAATTAAATTAAATTAAAAATTAAAAGAGCATCTCTATTGCGCCTTTGTTTAGTGTGTGACGGTGCTGCATTATCTCTCTTCATATCTACCGACAACGCATTCCAACCGCTTCCTTAACTGCTGGTTCCATTTTGTGCCCGAGAAAAGGTTATATTCTGTAATGGAAACCTAGTAATTCGAGTGTTTTGTCCGTTGTTGTCTTTGACCCGAGCTAATAGCAACCTAAATGCATGCGTCTGTGACCTATGCTCATATCAGCCCATCACATTCCAGCATGCATTGTGTTTGACCTTTGCGAATAGCAACCTACATCACATTCCAGCATATTTTTTGAACTCATTTATAAATATAGATAAATATTATAGGTCCATCGTTTGGTTTTTGTTTTCTTCTCAATTAATAGATCGGTAACTTAATTGCATTAAATAACTTGAATTAAATTAAGAAAAAGAGGAAGATGGTACAATATATGCACAAAAGAATGATAAGTGTTTTGAATTTTTTTTTTTAACTCACAGATCTAAAGCTCCTATTAAAACAAGTGTGTTAAAATTTGAACTTATAACCTCTTATTATAAGAGATCACTAACACTAGATTACAACATTTTTGGTCAAATATTTGATTCCGGCAATATATCCACCAACTATACATTTTTGAAATGCTATCACCAATTAGCAAACCAACCAACTATTGATTGCTTTACTAACACTTTGTTTTATCAAAATTATATGTCTCTATTCTAGTTCTTTTCAACAATATTCTAGCTATAGCTATGACATAATGTCGACCTAGTCTTGATGCCAATTTCGATTGGAGATTGAGAACACCAAAACAACGATATAATGCTAGATAATGTGCCACTACTCAAAAATCTTTCCAAGTTTATAAGGTCAGTTGTTTGTCCCATACAATGACACATACTATGTGGTGCAATTGAATAATCAATAGATGTTGATAGTAGTATTCAAATTCCTAATTAACCACTTAATAATAATAATAATAATAATAATAATAATAAATACTCAAATATTATATTAAGTAATCATTCAATTCAACAACAAAAGGCTCATGTAGTCATATTGTATTAACTCATTAATGGGGTTAAATAATGATAGCGTTCTTTTTCCTAAGTTAAATTTGATCAAATATCACTTGTCATTTTTTTAACAATAAATAGTTTCATTCCATTTGTCGCTACCCAATGTCGGACGGGACTCCCAAAAAAAAATTTAAATCTAAGTGTTAATTGGTATTTACAAGTGTATTTATAGAGTTTGGAGTCGCCACCTAGTATTAAGAAACTAGGAACGTAAAAGTAATACTCGGTTCGGAGATTCTATAGCAAGGAGTTGGTTACATATTTAAGAAGATATTTAATCACCCAAAAGTGCCATTTTCGAAGAAAAGTATCACGTCTAGTTTAGTTCTAAATTCATCTCCTAAAATGTTTTATCCATGTCAAACAATTTTTTTTTTATTTTTAAACTCCTATTTTTTCAAAGTCAAATTAAATTTTTTTAGTTTGAGCGTAACATCGTATTGAAACGATCGTCGGTCTCCTTCACCAAGCGACACGTCGGTTTAAACATCGGATCCACTATAAGTCTTAACACAACTTGTGTGTCGGAGGACATCCCGATTAAACGATGATTTTTGGCGATGTCGGTCCTTATAAGATAGGGGACTTTGTCAATAATTTTTAATTTTTTTTATCAAACGACGAGTCCCTATCAAATAGAAGCCTTCGTTGAGATTTTTTGTTATTTTTATTTTTATTTGTTCTTGATGAAAAATCATCATCGATCCCTAAAATTTAGAAGACTCGACGATTACCTATCCCTTAATTATCTAAACTAATTACGAAATTAAAAAAAAAATCTAAAATTTTAATTAACTAAAATCAATTAAAATAAATTTTGAGAAATTAAATATATTAAAATCATCGTCCGTCCCTAGTAAATAGGAGACTCGTTAATCTAATATTTTAATCATATCAAAATCATAGATTAACATAAATTTCACATCTAAGCATTTCTAGGTTTTCTAACATGTATAAGACCAAAAATTATTACAAAACACATAAAATAAAAAAAAAACAAACCCAAACAGATCCAAAATTCACATTCACCGTAAAATTACAAAAATACACCCGGAATGCCAAGAGTCACTACCAAGTGACCGTTCATCTTTCGGTGATCCTCCGAGCGCATGGACCACCCCGCCTTGTAGATCCGGTCACTCGTGAGTCCAACGGTAGTGGTTTCAATTGGAAACGATGTCGAAGGAGGGAGATCGGATCCTCCAAAGATCCGATCGGATCTCCTTTCTTCACTAGCGATGAATCCGATCTCCTTTTGGGATTTCAAGCACATCGATCGACTCACGAGATTGAGAGAAGGATTTCGTGGTGGTGGTTAAGACCTCCAATTCCTTCTAGATCGATCAATTTTTTTGGGTTGAACAAAATGGGTCGGAAACGAATCCTATTCAATTAAACTCGTTTTCCGGTGACTTTAGGTCGCGATTTTTAAATGGAAATACTCAAAGGAGATAGACGATCGGATCCGTGATGGTAGATCTCGTGTTGGTTACCTGGAGTTGAGAGAAATGATCGGGTCTTTTTCCGGGTCGGGTTTTGGTGGTTTAATCTTCAATTTCTATCACCTCCGTGATTGGTTCTCCCTCTAATCAATATGGATAGGCCGGTCTAGTGATGGGCTACATGTGGGTGGTGTTTATCGGGGTTAAAATTGACCTTAAAACGATCAATTAAGGCACAAAACTTTCAATTGGGTAAACGAGTTAATGGGTTTGGATTTTGGGTTAGGGCATGTTTGGCAATTTTCAATCTTTTCAGTATATTTTTTTGCATATGTAGTTTTTTTTCTGTTTTTTTTTCCTTGGCTCTCTGTCGCCTTTTTGTGTCTCCCCGCAAACCGAATTCGAAAGCTTTTTATAGGCTAAAACCTCTTGAAATCTCTCTCAAAATTAGCCCATTCAAATTTAAATTGTCAAATCTTAGTTTTGAAATTTGATTAGCTAAAAATAAGAGGATTCAAATTCAAAAAAAGATTAGTGGAAGATTTCGATAGATCTTCGAATGATTTTAAGAAGATCCGAGTATTTTTTATATTTTTTCCTTTTTTGTATTTTTTTTATTTTTCAAGGAACCCAAAATTGGGTTATGACACCATTTTTCATGTTAAAGAATAAAATAACATTCTTAAAGTTTTACATAACAATTTAAATTTTTAGATTGAAATGATTCCTTAACATCATAATTGTAATGATTAACTATCGCAAGTTTGATTCCTACTATTAAGAATTAACATAAAATAATTTATAAAACTTTACCCGACAATTTAATGTTTTGAGTTGAGATGGCTCTTTGATATTATATTAAAATCTCAATGAAAAAATAATTATGAATTTAATTGATTCCATAGCACTAGCATCCTACCTGATTCCATAGCACTAGCATCCCACTTGACCTCCCTTTCTGAATCAATGAGCATTTCATGAACGATTAATGAAGGCATCCTTAAAATCAAATAACTTAGTTTCAAGCAGACGAAGAACGTCAACTCTTTCATTATAGAACATAAGGTGAACATGTTTATTCATTTTTTTCTGAGAAGGAAAGCAAGGTACGAAGATAGAGTACAAAACAAAGAACAAACAAAACACACCAAACTTGGAAACTACTGCAATAAACAAGAGCGAAAACGAAGTGCTGAAAAACATGGTATCCTTTTAGATAACTTGATCATCTGATCACACATCTTTCTTTCTTTTGCTTTATGGCTCAGCTCGCACTTCTCACGGTGAGTTTGTACTTCACAGTACCTTGGTCTTCCATATGCAAAGTGACGACATCACCAGCGCTGAGCCTCAGACGGCTTGCGATGTCACGCCAATTTTTAGTAAATGCAAGTTTTCCCGATCTGCTGGAGCAGTGAACATCAACTTCCATATCAGCTTGCTCAAACATAACTGGAAACACAATGTCCCGAGCACCTTGGAACGGTGGCAAGGCTTCTCTTCTTGCGTCGTTTGGTAGCTCCAAATGTCTCTCAATGTCACTCGTTGTGAGTTTCTTTCTGAAGACTTCCATAGCTATAATATGCTTCGAGATAATTAGAAGTTCAAGAAGTTTGTTAGTGTATTTATAGTGATGAGAATCAGAAGCATTTGTGTAGTTTTTCTTGGGGACTTTTCAGTAATTGTGAGAGCCACCGAAATTCCATTTGGTGGCCATGGGGTAGTAGTCGATATACAGGTGAGCTTTGTTAGAAAATTATTCTTTATAAAACCATCAATATAAAATTGTTTTTGGAGCATTATCTATTGGTTTAAATTTTTTAATTAAGATAGTTTTTTTTATATGATATTAGAGTTATATATATATATATAAAAGAATTATTTCTTACAGCCTTTTTCTATAATTTAAACCTTATAAATAATATGAGAGCATATCACTGGGCTAAAGTTTCTATCTTTATATGATACACATATGAATTAGTTCAAGCAATTTGAAAAGCACCGTCACGTAGCCTTCGGTTGTTTTTATGTGTTTATCGTGGGGTGTTTTATGATTTCCTTAATCGATATTTAAGATCCCAGGTATATCTTTCTCGACTTATTATTTTAATAACAAACAACTTCATCATCTTGATACGACAGAATACAACATTTGCATTTCAAATTTATTTTTGTAGCCAAACATAAATAATCATGTTAAGAACATTATGAATCAAAATCATTAAAAAAAAAAAAAACTCCAATAATCTGCCATTTATTTTATAGAAATATTTAGCTATTTTTTTTTAATTAAGAAGAAAAATAATATAATGTATGATGTCAAAGAATCACATCAACCTAAAAGAAAAAAATTTATATTATTTTCTGATACATCTTTTCAAATGCAAAACCTTTTAATCTTGAAATTTGTATAAATCTATTATTATTTTGTGCTTCGTTAGAAGGGAAAGTGGCATTCTACGATAGAATCGTGTTATAGCTCCAATCCTCTCTTAATATCCATAGAGGTGAGTTTAGAGGTGAATTTTTTTGTGAAGATTTCCATGGCTAATAAAAATGCTTTGAGATAATCAGATTAATGAAGGTTCTCTTTATTTGAAGTGATGGGTAGAGGAGGTATTTACATAAATTGTAAACCAGATAGCTTGTTGCTTAAGGTTTTGTCTCTCTATATCTCTAGTAATTTTGATGTATTAACTTATTTCATATATAATTGTTAGTAAATGATATTTAGTTGGTCAAGACTCTCTGTAAGAAAATCCCCTACAGTTTAGTAAATGATATTTAGTTAGCATAATCTCTCTTACGCCCGTTTTAGGGTGTGATGGTGCTGCATAATCTCTCTTCAGATCTACCGACAATGCATTTCAACCGCTTCACTAACTACTGGTTCCATTTGGTGCCCTAAAAAAGGTTATATTCCGTAATGCAAACTTAGCAATTCGAGTGTTTTTTCCGTTGTTGTCTTTGACCCGAGCTAGTCGCAACCTATCACATCCTAAAATGCATGTCTTTAACATGCGCTATCACACACTAGCTAGCATGCATGTCAATGACCTGAGCTAATAGCAACCTATCACATTCTAGCTGGCATGCGTGTCTTTGACTTGTGCAATAGCAACCTATCACATTGTAGCGTATATCTTTTGAACTCAATGAACTGGATACTCACGTTACCTTACAATCGTATATATAAGATCAACGATTTATATGATATAATATGAGTAAAAATTTTATTTTTTATAATTAATATGAATTGATCTTAGAACATAATAATAATAATAAATAATTAGGGTTATGTGTGTAAATACATAATTAATTTATAACAAAGCTAATGATATATATCTTTTAATTATTTTATTTAAAAATATTAATTTTAGAATATAAAAATAAATAAATTAAAAATAATTAGCGTTATGTATGCATATACATAAATTAATTTCTAACAAAACTAATTATGTGTGTGTGTGTGTGTGTGTGTGTGTATTTTTTCATATGTTTACTTATGTTTTTATTTTTTCTCTATTTGTTAAAACAAAAAATAGAACCATTGATATAGCAAAAAGGACAAAAAAATTATTTTTTGAATCAAAGGAACTAATGGTGTTAGGTATGCCGATACATAATTAATTTTCAATAAAACTATATATATATATATATATATATATATATATATATATATATATATATATATATATATCATACTAAGTAAATTCAGAGTATATAGTATAAATAATTTTTAAAAAAAACCATCTAGGTTGTATGGAATATGTTAAAGTCAATAAATTGAAATAAAAACTACGACAAAATTGGTTCTCATAAATCTTACTTCTTAATTTATGATGAAAGAGATTCTTAAATTGTAAATTAAATAATAAATTAGTTCATCTTGTTTTAAAAAATGAATGAATTATTTTTTTATTAGTATTGACCATGAATAATATATTTTTTTATTTTTAAAGTCTTTTTTTCATATTTTTTTCCTATATTTTTTAGTTTTTCTCCATTTCTTAAAAAAAAAATAAAAACATTGAGCTAGCAAAAAGGACCCAAAAAATAGTTTTTGAACCGAAGAGACTAATGGCGTTATGTATCCAAATACATAATTAATTTTCAACAAAACTAAAAAAATAAATCATATTTATCAAGAAATAAAAGTTCATAAAAAATTTTATTTAATGAGAATTTTTATAATAAATGACAAATTTAAGAGATTAATTTTAAGCAATAAAAAAATATAATTCGATATATGTGTTTATTTTAAAATTTAAAAATATAAGAGGCCAAAAATATTTTTTTTTAATATGAGAAATAAAAAGTGTGTTTTTGAAAAAAAAAGTGAGGTAAAAAATAGACTAAATTAAAAACATGAGATTTCAAAATATTTTTAAAAATATGAGGATTTTAAAATATGAAGGAAAAAAATTGAAGTGTAAAATTTGAAAATAAATGAAAAAACTATTAGAAAATCATGAAAATACTTTTGTAGAAAATCAAAAAACACTTTACTAAAAGCCAAAAGAGGATCTTAGCTACAGAAAACGAAAAGAAAAAAAAAAAAAAAAGAACCTTGGCTTAAAAAAAAAAGTCAGCTATTTTACCATTCAAATGAACAGTAAAACAGATGGGAAAGAATAAAAAACAAAAAGGGCCTTTGCTTAAAAAAAAAAGTTGGTGGAAGTTCACTAGTCATTCAATGTTCAAATAAACAGTGAACTTCTCAAATGTTTTAGTATTTAGTAGAATTTATAAATGTTGATAAATTGCATTAAATAACTCGAATGAATTTTTTTTTTTTTTTTTAAAGATGAAGATGATGCAATATATGCACAAAATAATGATAAGTGTTTTGAATTAGTTTCGGTCGATTCCAGCAATATATCCGCCGACCATTTGGCTATAAGTTGTGAAATGTTCATTATTAATTAGCAAACCAACTATTGATTGCCTTATTAACGCTTTGCTTTATCAAAATTATATGTATAGATTCGAGTTCTTTCAACATTCTAGCTGTGAGATCATGTCGACCTCATGCTGATGTCAATTTCGATTGGAGATTGAGAACGCCAAAACAGTGATATAATGTTGACCACGTTCATGCTATAGATAACGTGCCACTACTCAATGGGACATGCTATGTGGTGCAATTGAATTTTAATTAGAAGATAAAAGATGGGTTGATAGTATTATCTTGTGAAGATTTCCATGGCTAATTAAAATGTTTTGAGATAATCAGGTTAAAGAAGGTTCTCTTTATTTGCTGTCATGGATACAGTAGGTATTTATATAAACTGTAAACCAGATAGCTTGTTGCTTAAGGTTTTGTTTCACTCTATCTCTAGTAATATTGATGTATTAACTTATTTTATACATAGTTGTTCTAGAAACTATTTGAATCTCTGAATTCCCATTATACAGCTAGCCAATACTTTCTGTAAGAAAAATCTTTATAGTCTAGTAAACAATATTTAGTTAGTTTGAACAAAAAAAGATACTACATATGACAGTCTTATGGCATTTTCTACAATTAACGACTTTAAGAAACAGTTCATTCTCTTTTTTGGCAATGGTTTTCAATTTTTTTTTTTTTTTTAATAGAGATGTCTAGTTTATTGTCATTAAAAAAAAATTATTAATGATGCATTTTCTCACCACTTCATGTCTCTATTATGCCCTTTTTAAGTGTGTGATTGTCCAGCATAATCTCTCGTTATATCTACCGACAACGCATTCGAACCGCTTCCTTAACTGCTGGTTCCATTTTGTGCCCTAGAAAAGATTATATTCCGTAATGGGAACCTAGTCACTCGAGTGTTTTGTCCGTTGTTGTCTTTGATCAGAGCTAGTAGCAACCTACACGCATGTCTTTGACCTGTGTTATAGCAACAAATCACATTATCTTTTGAACTCAATTATAAAGATAGATAAATATTATAGGTTCATCGTTTGGTTTTTGCTTTTCTCACAATTAATATATCGGTAACTTGCATTAAATAACTTGAATTAAATTAAGAAAAAGGTGATGGGACAACATTGTCAAATGATTAAAGCTTAAATTATTAGATGAGATCTAATATATAATTTATATTATTCTTTAATAAATATATCCACAGAAGAATTACAAGGGTTTTGAATTAATTTCGGTCAAATATTTGATTCCAGCAATATATCCATCGACTATTTTGGTTATAAATTTTTGAAATGTTCGTCACCAATTAGCAAACCAACTATTGATTGGTTTATTAATTAACACTTTGTTTTATCAAAATTAACCACCGATCAGTATCTATTCGAGTTCTTTTCAACATTATAGCTATAGCTATGACATAATGTCGACCATGCACGTTCATGCTGGATATTGTGCCACTACTCAAAACAGCGATATAATGTTGACCGTGCACGTTCAGGCTGGATAATGTGCCACTACTCAAAATCTTTCCAAGTTTATTTGGTTAGTTATTTGTCTCATACGATGGCCCATACTATTTGGTGCAACTGAATAAGATAAAGATGGGTTGATTGTACTATTCAAACTCCTAATTAACCACTATAAAAAAAATTGTAATATTATATTAAAAAACCATTTAATTCAACAAAGGCTAAAATAATTATATTGTATTATCTCATTAATGGGGTTAATTAATGATAGCGTGCTTTTTTTTCTAAGCTAAATTTCATCAAACATCACTTATCGTTCTTTAAGTAGTTTCATATTATCTTTCATCTTAGAAAATAAAATATGGTTCTTCAAATCTCACATAATAATTTAAATTTCAAACTAAAATGGTTTTTTAATATTAGAGCTGTAATGACCAATAATCAAAAGTTTGATTTCTATTATCAAAGAGTTAATGTAGCATAGTTTATAAGATTACATCTAAAAAGTTAAGTTTTTACCTTGAGATTATGGTTTAATATTACATTAAAATTTTAATAACAAAACAGTGATGAATTCTATTCCATACCACTAGCACCCCCTGACCTCCCTTTCTGAATTAATACTTGTCCGCTTAATATCGTGACCATTCCATAAACGATTAATGAAGGCATCCTTAAAATCAAATAACTTTGTTTCAAGCAGAAAAAGAACGTCAACTCTTTCATTCTAGAAAATAAGGTAAACATGTTTATTCATTTTTTTCTGAGAAGGAAAGCAAGGTACGAAGATAGCGTACAAAACAAAGAAGAAACAAAACACACCAAACTTGGAAACTACTACAATAAACGAGAACGAAAACGAAGTGCTGAAAAACATGGTATCCATTTAGATAGCTTGATCATCTGATCACACATCTTTCTCTCTTTTTCTTTATGGCTCAGCTCGCACTTCTATCACTCTTACTTTGTACTTCACAGTACCTTGGTCTTCTTCCATACGCAAAGCCACGACATCACCAGCGTTGAGCCTCAGACAGCTTGTGATGTCACGCCAATTTTCAGTAAATGCGAGCCTTCCCAATCTGCTGGAGCAGCGAACACGAACTTCCGTTCGAGCTTGCTCTAACACAATTGGTAACACGATGTCCCGAGTACCTTGGAAAGATGGCAAGGCTTCTCTTCTTGCGTCGTTTGGTAGCACCAAATGTTTCTCAATGTCACTCGTTATGAGTTTCTTTCTGAAGACTTCCATAGCTATAATATGCTTCGAGATAATGAGAAGTTCAAGAAGTTTGTCAGTGTATATATAGTGGTGAGAATCAGAAGCATTTGTGTAGTTTTTCTTGGAGACTTCTTGGTAATTGTCCAATTCGGTGGTCATGACATGACGTAATAGATATATAGGTGAGTTTTGTTAGAGAACTATTCCATATAAAACCATTAATTAATATAAAATCATTTTTAGAGCATTATCTATTGGTTCTTTTTTTTTAAATTAAGATGGCTTTTTATATAATATTAGAGTTTTTTTTTTTTTTATCAAGTAATATGAAATGAAATCCTGCCATACCAGTCCATACTCATTTAATTAAAATTCAATATTACAAAATAATTTGATCATATACAGGTTTCAATGGGCTTTCACTTGATATTTCAGAAGGTACATTAGTAGTTCAATTTCGATATATGATTTTTTTTTTTCATTTTTGTTGTTTTGATGTTTATCATGTTATCACATATATATTGAAACTAAATTCTTTATTAATCATGTTTTAAACAGTATATATATATCAGTGTATATTCATAAAAAAAAAAAATTATTTCTTATAGTTTTTTTGTATAATTTAAACCTTATAAATTAATATGAGAGCATATCACTCACTGGGCTAAAGCTTCTATCTTTATATGATACACGTATGAATTACTTAAAGCAATTTGAAAAGCAAAGCACCGTCATGTAGCCTTTGGTTGTTTTTATGTGTTTTATCGTTTTCTTAATTAATCAACAAATAAGATCCGTGGTATATCTTCGTCTACTAATTATTTTAATAGGTAACAGCTTCATCATCTGAACCTTTTTGTTCTGTGCACTATATGGCTAATGGAATGGACTAAGTAAAAAGAAGTTGTGGGGACGGGGACGGGGACGGGGACGGGGACGGGGATGTGAGGGTGTTCAAATTCTACAAAAGAAAGATAAGATGTTTTGAATACCACAAATCCAGCTTTTGGGTCCTTGTCAATGTTTAATGTATAATGAATGATGTTTGGTCCAACGGTTGATTGTTGCATAATTACATATATTAGAAAAAAATATATAAATTACTTGTCGTTGAGTGATTTTTTTTATTTGATAATAAAAATATTTTCGAATCAATTTATATATTACATATCAGTTGGAATTTTTTAATTTATTTTTCTTACATCAGTTTAATAGATTAAAATTTATTACAATGAATAAAATAAATTCTTCCTAAGTTTGAATAAAAAAAATAATAATAACAAACATTATATATTATCTAACAAAAAAAAACCTTAGATTAATTGATATTCTTTTTTTTGCCTTTTTGAATTGATTGTAAGCATAAATTCATTTTGTGTTTTTCACAATGATGCGAAGAAATTAACTATCAATATTGTTAAACGCAAAAATGGTGTACGTGAAACTATTTGTTTGCTGTTGGGAAGACATTGAACTGCTTTAAATTAAGATTCCAAATTCATGGGAGCTAGGTTGAAAAACTACTAGTCGTGTGATGCACACTCCAGCTTGCCCTTTTGAAACAAATTAAAGGTGCGATGCCAACAAATCCAGAGGCAAGTTTTGTCTCGTACCCACCTGCATGCTATAGTATTGTGCCCCAGTCATGAATGCACCGACGCAATCTAGCAAGGTCAAAAGCAATATGTATATATATATAATTGGAAAAGAGTGGAGCCTTGTAATAACCCAAATTTTTCTTGTTGTTTTATTTTTTATTTTATTTCTACTTTTTATTTTTTATTTTTTTATTTCTTATTTTATTTATTTATTTATTTTCATTTATTTATTATTTATTATTTTTGTTTTTTGTTTTAAATTTGAAGTTTATTAAGGAAAAAGAAAAAAAAAGAGAAAGAAAATAATGAAAAAAATTCCGTTGGGGGTGCAATTGAATTAATTAGAGGTGTAATCGAGTTAATTGAAAAGTTTAGGCCTTAAATTGCACCTTCGGGGACCTAATTGTTGAGATTACACTGAAATTATTTCGCCGAGGGGCGTAATTGCTGAAATTGAAACTCGAGGATCAAACCGAACGTTTGGAGCGAACGACGGGATCGAAATAGAGCAAACGACCCGTCGTTCACTCCAAGGTAGATTCTCTCCAAAAATCTTTGGGAGAATCGCCCAAATCCTCCATGAATTTCTTGTTTTTGATTGTGTATTAATCATGGATTTTGTTGCCAAAACCAACGCTAACAGGAATCAATGAGAATTTTCTCGTTTCGATTTCACAATTAACCATGGTTTAAGGAGAAAAATTTGACAAAAAAATTTCGGGATTTGAGATTCAATTCTCGGAGAAATTTTTGGAAATTTGGTGCTATAAAACGTTAGGAATTTCGGAGGAGAAGGGAGGATTGAAAAGGAATTCGGGTTGAGAGAGGATAAAAATCGAAAGCAAAAACATAAATTTTGGATCCTTTAGCAGTTGGGTTTTCTAGGTTTTTACGGGTTCCCGGGTTCGAGTGTTCTTCGTGTTCTCCATCTCGGGTTTGCAATTTCACCTCATTACTTGATTTTTCCGGGTTTGAGTTAGATTTTCACGCGTTTGTTCATTTCAATTTCTGGTTTTGAGGTTTTAATTAATTTTTTGGGATTTCGTCCACAAATTTTTCAGGCGTGCGTTTGAATTTCGGGTTTAGGATGAATTTCTAGGTTTTGTGTTCTTGCGTTTTAGAGTTTTAATAATTCCCAAATTCCCGGGTTTTCTAATTTTCCTTATTTCGATATTGTTCATCGGTCGAAATCCAAAACATGATCCATTCAAGTCTGTTCTAAATCCTCAAAGGCCATTAATTTTCCATCAACCCATTTCCATAACTCCCAATTCAAGGATCATCGCAACCAAGGCCATCTTCATCCCTTTCGTCAACTCGCAAGCAAGAAAGCATCAAACACCAATACCACAATCAATTTGTTGTTCGGGATCAAGACAAGGCGGAGATCACTCCGAAATCCAAGTATCGATCCAATTCGCACATCCACGACCATGGGTTCGAAGCTCGGAGTTAGTCATTCTCATCTCGAACTTAAATTCTTTATGTTATCTAAACTTTGTGTTTTTAATTCGTTTAAATGGAGAGAATAAGAATAGCTTAATCGGTTGGCCCTTTTGTTCAAAAACATGGCTAACTCCCGTGAAATCTCGAACAAGAGAGTTGGAAAAAGGAGAACGAAGCGAGAGAAATAAGAACATGAGTGAGAGAGAGTAAAAATCGATAAGTTTTCGTGTGATCCAAAAAATAAAATAGGAGGAGGTTGGGTCTTGTTTTTGGGTCTTAGCCCAACTTGGTGCTTTAAAAAAAAAAAAAAAAAGGGAAACGTGATTTGGGCCAAACCCAAACTCACGTTGGAGTAAAAAAAGAAGAAAAAAATACGTGGGCCGGATCGCAATGGGCCCCTTACCCAAAATAAAAAGAAAGGGGGTCGGATCGATTTCACTTGACTCCGCACCCTAAAAAAAAAAAAAAAAAAAGAGTAGAAGTGGTGGGTTAATATTTTAGATATAGGATTTTTTTTTATATGTATTATTTTATTACTTTTATTGTTCAATTTTTTTTTAACTTGTTTATATAGGATGATTTTTTTATTTTTTTAATTTAATTTAATTTTTTTTAGCCTATTTATTTTTATTTCTTGTCGTTTTTAGGTGTTAATTTAGATTTTTTATTTTAATTTTTTTTTGTAATATTTATTTCTAGAAAAATTATTATTATTATTATTATCATATATATATATTTGACGAAGTCTCCTATTTGATAGGGACCGACGTCATAAAAAAAGATGCCTAGAAATTTGGGCGAAGCCCCCTACTTGGTAGGGACCGATGCCACACAAAAAATATAATAAATAAATTCGACGAAGTCTCCTATCGAATAGGGATCGACGTCACCAAATTCAAAATTTTCGACGAAGCCTCCTATTTGATAGAGGCTAACGTCACAAAAAAAAAATCACCTTTTAATCAAAATATCCTCCGACACACCGGTTGTGTCAAGGCACAAAGTGGATCCGATGTTTCAATCGACGTGTCGCCCGACGAAGGGGACCGACGATCGTTTTAATATGATGTCATGCTCAAAACTAAAAAATTCAATTTGTTTAAAAAATAGGAGTTTAAAAAATCAAAAAATAATTTGACGTAAATAAAATATTTTAAGAGATAGATTTAGAGCTAAACCGGACGTGGTACCTTTTTTCGAAAAGGGCGCTTTTGGGTGATCGATATCTTCTCAAAAGCGTAACCAACTCCTTACCATAGAATCTCCGAACCGAGTGTCCGTTTTAGGTTCCTAGTTCCTTCAATACTAGGTGGCGACTCCAAACTCGTAAATAAACTTATAAATATTCATTTCTAATTTTAGATTATTTTCGAGGAGTCTCCTCCGACGTCGGGTAACGACAAGCCTAATACTTTAAGCTTACACCTTAACTAACCACAATCTACTACTTGGTCAAACAATTGGGTCACTTCCAATCGTCTAAAGGTCTTTTTTTTTTTTGCGAGTAGTCGTTCACAATCACACTATATTTGAAGTTAATTAAGAAGAAAAGTATATGCACTAACCAATTTAATTTCATACCAACTTTGTAAGACATTATTTGTTTTGATGACGGATGTTGGTTTATTTTCTGAAATATACGGAAAAGGTTTTGCACTATAAAAAATGAAGGGCTTAGCGATGGAAAATTCCATCACTAAAACCTATGTTTTCCATCGCTATTGTGTTTTAGCAATGGAATTTCGATGCAATAATAATATCGATAAAATACTTGTCACTAATTTTTTTAGCGATGGAAATTTTATCGCTAGATTGAAATATCTCCATCACTAATTCAATATAAATAGTCATTTTGTAGTTATAAAATCTATCACAAAACCGTCGGTAAGTTGTTTGATTTTCGTTGTTATATAGTGACGGAAATCCATTGTAGAATTTTGTCGCTGATCGCTAAACCGTAGCTTGGTGTCGCCAAATTGTCGATGGATTTTATTATCCATCGCTACTGAACTAATTTAATATTTATTTTTTGTCGTTAGTCGGTCGTTGATCCGTAGCTAATGAAGGAAATTATTTTTTTTAATTTGTTCATAGAGATTTAATGTTTAATTATAA